AAGGTGTGACTTGTTAGCTACTAGCTATAGCTAGAAAGCATGGACTACTAGCTAGCTAGAAAGCGTTGGACACGGAGAGATAGTGTCAGCGAAAATCCGTGTCCGAATATATTTTATTATTTTTTGGACACAGACCGTGGTGACACGGCCCGTTTTGCTTTGGACACGCCACCTAAGTGCCACCTCAGCTCTTTTTTAAACAAAATTGAAATCCCCCTTTTACTGTTGTTTCATTCACAATTCGCAAATCGCTAGTACACTTCACATAGTTCGCCGCCGCTACCCCTTACTGTCAACCACCGCCGGCGATACACCCGATCAACCACCACCGGCAGGCGGCAACTTGTTTACTCCAGTTTTTCGTGTCCGTACCCGAATCCGTGCATCCTAGCTAGCTACTAGGCATTTGTGCGCGTGTTATTAAACCTTATCTTAACCTGATTAACAAGTAACAATCTCTACTTTCCCAGGCAACAGAAAATTCCAGCAAAAAAGAGGAAGTATCCAAAGCCAGGTTAATGTCATTACTCAAATATAATTTGCAGTCAATTATTTTGGTGTTAGATTCTCAATTTATAGTTTAATGTTGTGCTTGTGCGATTAATTGTATAAGCGAATTGGGAAAAAAATTGTGGGAAAATTAGATAGGTTTTATGAATGTATATGCTGTAATATAGTTATAAAATAATTAAATTTGTAATTTGTTTGATGATAATTGTTTAATTTGTGATGGGGTTTGCTTAAATTGCCATAAAATTGCTGCAGGGTTCAATTTTTTTGGTGTTAGATTATCAATATATAGTTTAATGTTGTGCTCTAAATTGTATAAAGCTTATAAGAGAAAAAATGTGAGAAAATTGGATAGGGTTTATGAATGCATTGCCATAATTTAGTTATGGCATTTCAATTTGGATTAATATGGAAGAACTTTAAAGTAGTATAATTTTGTAATTTGTTTGATGATAATTGTTTAATTTGTGATGTGGTTTGCTTAAATTGCCATAAAATTGCTGCAGGGTAAATGGGTTTACAATATGCTGCTAGATTTCAGTACTCACCCTTGGCACTAGAAAGTAGCTTAAAGGTGTGCTTGATTTCGGGTGGTGATTTTTCGTTATCAAAGAGACCCTTTGTTCAATTTTTGAGGAGGGAGGGGAGGTTTTGCCTTTCGTCGTCGAAACATCTAGCAATCTCTTTACCGGTTTGTTTTCTTACTGTGTTTATATAATTCATAATGTAGTTAAATTTGAATATTATTGTTATCATGCTAATGAGAACATCAGCATTGTGATTTTAGAAGATGGAGATGTGGAATTGGTAGAAATGCTGATAATGTGAAGTCTGATGATGAGGATGGTTTCATGGATGAAGATGAGAGGCGTGATTGGAGGAAAAAGATTTGGGATGTGATTGATAAGTATCCTAATGTTCAAGAGGAGCTTGATCCCGAGGAGAAGAGGAGGAAGATGGAGAAGCTTTTAGCCGAGTACCCCCTTGTTGTGGAGGAGGAAGATCCTGATTGGCCTGAGGATGCTGAAGGAAGGGGTTTTGGTTTGGATCAATTCTTTAATAAGATTAGCATCAAGAATGTGAAGAAAAATGATGATGATGATGATGATGAGGATTATGATAGCGATAAGGAGATCGTGTGGCAGGATGATGATTATATTCATCCCATTAAAGATGTTAGTAATGTTACCTTGGCAGAATGGGAGGAGATGGTGTTCAAGGATATCAGTCCTCTAATTTTCTTGGTGCACAACCGCTACAAAAGGTTACCTTTCCATCTTTCTTCTTATAACGTGGAATGCCGTTTTATGTCTTAATTTTGGTCCGGTTAGACTCATTAGAGGGAGCTATATGCTTCTTAGCTGCTGAAGAAATAGTAGAGCAGCAAGTTTTGCTAATTACTGAATTAAGACAATATGTTGAAATAATAATTCATTTGTTGAAATTATAATTTATTAGATTTGCTCGCATTTACTTGGTGAATTGGCAATGTGTTTAAGTTGTTCGTAGTACTTGTAAAATTTTTGTGTTGATTTTATGCTCTTTTAGCTTGCAAGATTAAAAAAATCCTCTTGTAATCGCAATTCATGTGTTTCATATGTGTTTGCTTTGTATATTTAGACATTGGTTATAAGTTTATAACTCGCCATATCAGTCAACAGTTACGTTCATATGTACAGTGTATATTAAGGTTGTTAGATAGTAACTTATACCTTTAAGCTATAACTCACGATGTTAATAACAGTTAGGTTCATATAAGCAAGTTTTACAAAAACTCGTAAGGTAATGTGGTTTTAAAAAAATCACTGGGTACAAATTTTACAAAAATTCAACAAAGTGCTTGTGAAGTGTTGTGATAATTTCAAACTGAGACAAAAGCTGATACAAGTTAACTTTCTGTCAATCTCTTGTGTGTGGTGATAAAAAATTCGCTAAAGGTACCCACTGAAATTACATGTGGGGGCTCCTTACCATTTCATGCACTCAACAATTTATCCTTCATCCTTAATTGTATTGAGAGATGAACATAGAAATGTTTAGTTAGTTTAGACTTTGAATGAAGTTGTAGCTTGCATGCTGTTCAAATTTTGTTGCATCTCATCATCAGTGCTATCAGTATATAGAAGTTTGCTTTGTGACTGCTGAGTATTTTTTAGTACTCAATCATCAAATTAAATTTCTTGTCCTTTGTCCTTAACCTTGGTAATGGTAATTTGTTGCTTGCTATTTTATATATGTTTTTCTCTGTAACTGAATCTGACAATCAGTATCTCTCTTTATTTTTTTATGTTCGAGTAAAGAATCGAAAGTTTCAGCCTTGTATTATCATACTCTGTATTTTGCCTGTTTTATTGGTAGTGGTTTTGATAGGTTTAATTGTTATTGTTGCCATATGAATATAGGCCTCTGTAAGTGCACATATACTGTTATGGTACTCAATTGTAAAGACAAATTGATATAACCTTCTTTATTTTGGAAAAAGATATTTAACTTCCAAACCTTCTGTTTATGGGATATTATGGTCATTTGCTAGCTATGTTGCATTAATTTTCAGACCTAGAACGTGAAGTGTATTATTGCTTTCAGTGCAACTCTTTTTCTGTAACAGCAGTAATTTTAACATCAACCTTCTATATACTCATCTTCTTGTCTGAATGCCTGCTTCACCTCAAAATCATCTTACCGAACTGGTTAAACTTAAAACACTCGCTTGCCTGTCCTGTATCTGAATATAAACATGTTTGCAGACCAAAAGAAAATGAACTATGTCGAGACGAGTTGGAGAGAGCTGTGAATATAATATGGAACTGCAGGTTACCATCGCCTAGGGTCAGTCTTTTGCTTCTTATGCTCTTCTTCTTTAATATTGGATTTATCTACTGGAGCAGATCTGACAACTTACTTTACAAATTCCAGTGTGTTGCAATAGATGCAGTTGTAGATTGGGATTTGGTCTCTGCTTTAAAGGTGTCCAATTTCCCTGAGCTCATCTTCACAAAATCTGGGAAGATATTATATCGGGAGAAAGGTTATCATTCTTTTCTTTTCTTTTTTTTATTTCCAAAAAAGTTTCTTTTCATTGCAATATTGCATTTCCCTACTCCCTCATGACAATGACTGTTGTAACTTCTTCTCAATTTTACAGCTATAAGACCAGCTGATGAATTATCTAAGATCATGGCATATTTTTACTATGGTGCGGCAAAGCCACCTTTTTTCAATAATATGGAAAACTTCGACGAAGCTGTTCCATCAGCTCCTATTAGCATTGAATCTTAGTAACACTGTCATGAAGGTAAAGATAGAAATTCCTCTAGTTTCTTACTCCTGTTGTATACAATGATGTGAAGCATGTTAGTTAGGATCAAGATACATTATTACATGTAGTTAACTCTGTACCCTAGCACATGTGATACCTCATCTTTCTCTTTGAAGTTGAAAATATGAAAAGTAACAACTTTATCAATATTTCATACTCATTACTACTTTATTTATTCTCATCTTCTGTGCTTGTTGTATCTGGATTCTGTTGTCTCTGGTACGAGGAAATTACATGCATTACCAGTGTTATCCTTTCTGCTATGAGTTATTAGTGGATGAATTAACTGTGTGATTTTTGCTTTAATCATAAGAATACAAGGTGAAAATCCACAAAGGGAGTTAGGTTTATGGCTTTTAACAAAAAATAATAATTTAATTCTAAGCTTGGCACAGCTGGAGGTGAACCCCATGGTCTTCTGTGATTCTTCACACATACTATATGTGATGATTAACTTTCATGAAAAAAATCAAACAGATCTTGGACTTCACCTTTCCTTTGGCGGACTCTTGTAATTGGTGCAAGGTTGGGGGTGTTAGTGTGAGACTTTGATTCCGGGTCTTCTGTTATTCTGTTAGTTTATCATTATTAAGGGGAGAAGCTGTCATGTATGATATGTATTAGTGTGAATCTTACTATAACTTCATGCAAATAAAGCCCACATCACTAACAATAAAGTGTGTTGCATTTTAGATGGTTGGTCAACTAACATTGATCAATTAAAACTACCTCGCTGATTAAATTACGATGCTTAATGATGCTCTTGAGTTGGCCATAGCAGCACACTGTACTTGTCTCGTAAGATAATGATGGATTTGAGTGACACAACTGCTATATTTGGCAGATTGGTAGGCACCAATTAACATATTTTAGGATCTCTTGATTCCTAGTAGGTGAAAGCTGTGAAACATTATCACCTAGCTACAATAGGTAAACTAGTAGAAGCTCGAGAAGTAACAAAGACTTGGGATCAAATGTCGTCCTTATTGTAAGTCTTTATATCTTGCACGGAAAAGTCCACATGTTTTTCTGATTGAAACAATATCTTTCACATTAATTCAGTCACTTTCAAGACTACTTGAGAGTTTGAATTGAAGCAGGAAGGAATGATTCCTTAGAATATGCTTTTGTTCTTTCCTATGTTAGCTTACCATATAAACAGACTCAACTCTTGCTAAAAGACCATTTTCTTTTCTTTGTTATTTTTTTCTGAAACCATGTATTATGCAGAAGTTGAATTAGGTTTTTTTGCAGGGGATGAATATGTTTGTTTATGGTCCTCTAACCATTAAGTCATTTTCGATATATTTTGAGTATATTAGAATATGGTTCTAGTGATTAGATGACCATCAACAAACATGTTCATATCATTGCACTTGCCTACAAATTACATCACTCTCAAGATCCATAAAGCATGATGGCCTGCATATTACAGTATTACATCGCTCTCAAAATTTATATGCAAGTGGCTTCTATGAATTTCATAAAAGTCACTGATTTGCAAAATCCAATGATCCTATACAAGCAATTTTCTTTCCTTCTCTTTCAATAATACACCTAGGACCTATGTGATTGTTCTGTGTGATTGATGGATCAGTCCCATTTGGTTTTTGCGTCGAGCTAGGTAGGGCAGAGGAACCAGGACAGATCTACGAAATAACCGGGATGAGAGGTAGGCCGGTCCGGGTAGGCTGCTTTATTTCTGTAAAAAAAGGGTTATTATTGCAAAAAAAATCCATGAGCCGCCTACTTGATTTTTACTGAACAAGGATGAAGCTTGTTAAATTTTACAAGTTGGAACTACCGTAAAAAAATGGAGAAGCCTTACCTTACTCCTATTAAGTTTTTTGGCAATTTTTCTATCAACGATTAGTTTGAGCTGACTATGAAAAGTTAGTCGACTTAACCCTAATTATCTTACCAAATCCACAAATAAACATCAAGCTTCTGGATGGCATTGTATAAAACATCATTCCATCATTTTTTTATTTTATTTTTTTTTTTTTATTATTTTTTTTATTTGGAAAGGCTTCCCTCATCTTTTAAGAAGGTTGGTAAGGGGTATTACATCTTGCTTTGCAAAATTTAAAGTGTCCAAAATAAAATGAGAAACATAAAGCAAGGGTACTAATCCTCTTTCCCTTTCTTGTAGACCCCTAAATTAACTAAGTGACCCCTAAAATACCATAAAGCAACACTTTAAGCAAACCAAGGAAGAATGGAAGAACTACTTCTGAGTTAACCAAGTGCAAACTGCCAACTATTGAATGTGATCACTTTTTGCTGGTAAACCAACATCTTCATAGTTGGCACAAACTATAGCCCCCATGAATTTTTTTAACAAAGTTGAAAGTATAATCAAGCAAAATAATGCACGTATCAAGTATTTGGAGGACTACGGCTCTAGCCTACAACCAACAACCCTAATCTAATTCAAAGATGTTAGGGTCATGAATGCGTATTGGAAACAAAAAATGTAGAGATTGAGAAGAATGAATAGGAAAGATGGCAAGAAAAATAATAAAGAATGACACCACTATGAAAAACTCTTTGAGCACCAAAAATCCATAGAAACATTCTAAAGTATTAGGCTGAATTATACCCTAATAACTCTCACTATTAATACAAGAGGAATCATAGATTAGTAAATTAGGTATGTACTCCCTCCGTCTCTTATTGTTTGCACCATTTGACCCAAAAAACTCTCACAAAATGTGGGGCCATGGGGAAAATAAAAGAGGAGTGAGAGAGTAGTATGCAACGAGGGTTAATACACAGGAAGATTTGTTATATGACTATGATTTCTTAATTGTGTATGTGTAAGATTGTATGCCCAACACCAATATATATAGTGATAATGTCATAATACCAAGGGTTTGTTCTCTTTAGTTTAATTTCAGTTCAGTTCAGTTCAGCTCCAATTAGTTCTGTCCTAATTTTCTTCTTTCATAAATAATTCATTTCAGTTCAGTTTTATTCAGTTCAGTTCAATTTAGTAAATTAGAACAGGCCCTGAGATCATGTGAATATGCACGTGCTACTAAAGTGTAGAAACTTTCATCACCACAAATTCACAATGTTTCAGGGTTTTCGTCAGCCATATCTCTAGTTTCTTTTCCAATATTAATTTCAACTAGTCTCTCAATGTTCAAAGAGTTTACTTCATACAACCTTATAGATTAAATTAGAGAAATTGATCTGATCGCAAGCATTAGCTTTGCTTAATTTATTTTGAAGCTTCATTTCTATAGAATAGAGCACATATAAATGATACAATCTAACAAGACACTGGTCTTACATAGTTTTGAGTCTTTGCTTAAGAAATAATACATTATAAATCCCTTTAATAATATAGATGAAGTTGTGTAGGAATTGCTCAACACGAAATCCGCTACTAAAAAACACCATTATTGACATCTAGCTGACAGATAGTCCATTTAAGAGTGTATAACAATAATAATGAGAACACTAAGGTTTCAAAGAAATTAAATATCTACTTGCCCATGTTGGATGTACACAAGCACCCAACAAGTCAAGCCTATAACCGTTCTTAACTTCTTATTATATTATATCTTATTCGGAGTACTACCCACTTACAACCACACAACTATGCAAGTGATATTTGTAACATTGAAACATGTTTTAGTATAATACCTATTCTAAATTGATTTCTTGTTTACTTTTGTTAATTTTTCTAAATGATAATATACATTGAATTTAATTATTTAGTAAAATAAAGACAAAACCTGTAACTTTTCAAGAGAAGAGTAGATTTATGGCAAGGGCAGGAGTAAAGTCAAGCATATGTGCTCAAATATAAAAAGGCCAAAGTATTTAGTTAGAAATTTTTAAAAACATATCTAGTTTGGAATAAATGTACTAACATAACATCAACATAATAACAATCTATACTTAGTATTTAAAAACACAAACCACATATTTTCACATGACACATGTCATCACAAGTCACTCATTATCCCATATGCCACATGTCACCTCCCTTAATTTTTTTGTTCAAGTCTTTATGCATTCTATAATTTGGAAATTCAAGAAAGAAAATGAAGTGTTTCATTTCCACTATAATTTGTACATATTACATAAAATATAGTATGAATTATAATCAAAATTGTCTTTTCATCTCCTACACTTAAAATATAACTTAAACTAATACGTCATTTTCATATTCCACAATCTTCATGTATATATACTTAATCCTTCATCTTCTTTCAAAATTCTACTCTAACCATTTTTTTTTAAGTTTTAGCAATGAAAAAATTACTTCGTATACTATATAAAAAGTTTCAATTTATGAAAAGTATACCTTTATTTGAAAATAATTTATCCAAGTAACAACCCGTACATCGAACGGGTCAAAAGGCTAGTTAGATATAAGACAACTTACGGTTGAAATAATTGTTACTAATCAATTATAGTTTAAGGCAAATTGCAAATAAGTTATTTTTGATGATACAAGTCTTTTGAGGCAATTAAGTGGCTGCTTTGAAAAAGTCTTCGTATGGTGATATTTTAGACCTAATATTGAGCGACTTTTATAATAAGGATCAAGGGACGGGTAACTCCTCTATAAATCATAAATGTGTTTCATGCCCCCTAAAAAACGATACCTTATCTGTTTTATTACGGATTTTTCACCAAATACCACTGAGTTTAAGCTTAATTCATCGTATACCACCAAAAACTTTGTAATACACCATATAACCTTTAGTTTTATGGAAATGTCACAACATGCCATTAATGACTAACGGAGGTTAACACCGTTAGTCATTAAGGTTAATAATGCCACGTGGCAGCTTGTGATTTGTTCCCTTCTAAATAATTTAATTTTAAAATAATTATTTAATTAATTATTGAAAAAAAAAATAAAAAAAAAACTACCACCACCAACGACAGCCCCTGTCAGCCACCACCAACGAACCCCCTCGCCGGTGCGGAATCCGACCAGGACCTCCGCCGGCGCTCCTCCTCTTCCCCTGAACTGTCGTGCCTCCCTCGAAAACCCCATTGAATCACCTCAAAAACCCCCTACCTCACTCGAAAAACCGTCCCCTACATACCGGCCGACAAAGAAACCCCCCTCCCCCGCGTCGGCGAACGAATTCGCCTTATCCCGATGCCATCTCCACCCCATTGAACCACCACGTATGCCGAAACCCTAAAACCAAAATCTAGGGTTTCGATTTTGGTGTTTTGGGGTTTCGTAGTGGTGGTTTTCGGCAAGTTTCGTGGTGAAGGTTAGAAGGGTTAATCGGGGATGGGATGGAGGTTTACGGCCGTTTTGCGAAGGTTAGAGGGGTTAATCGAGGCTGGGATGGAGGTTTTCGGTGATTTGCGAAGGTTAAAGGGGTTTTTCGAGGCTGGCTGGTGTTTTAAGGGTGGTGGTTATGGTGGTTTTGGGGGTAGGATTTGGGTCAAAGGGTGATTTCGAAGTTGGACTTAGATCGGCGGGGTGGTTGTTTGTATTGGGGGGTTCCGGCCGGCCGATTTCGTGGGTTTAGGGTGGCGGCCGGCCAGTTTTAGGTGGGCCTAGGGTAAGGGTTAGGGTTTCGTGGTGGCTTGGGGGGGTGGGTGGTGGGTTTTTTTTCATTTTTTTTTTACATATTTTTGTTTTTGTTTTAACTTTTTTTATTTGGACCAATTATTGATTGCCACGTGGCATTATTAACCTTAATGACTAACGGTGTTAACCTCCGTTGGTCATTAATGGCATGTTGTGACATTTCCATAAAACTGAAGGTTATATGGTGTATTAGAAAGTTTTTGGTGGTATACGGTAAATTAAGCTTAAACTCAGTGTTATTTGGTGAAAAATCCGTTTTTATTAATTGATTGATTTACTAGTTTGCGTTTTATGGTAAAAGGAAGCAAGGCCATCAAAATAAATAAATCAATAAAATTCAATAAAACGAGAAACATAATAGCTATTGGCCTTCATTGACATATACTAAAAACGTCAATAATCCAAAGTTTTGAGAATGAGAGGTTTGTAATTGCGCGTAGTGACATGGTATAACTCTTGGCGCATAGCACATATTTGTTTTGAAACAAATAGGATGGCTAAGTTGTAATATTAACATGAGTGTATGAGTATAAAATATCATCAAATAAGTAATATAGTCCTATTAAATGTTGTAGTGGTATAAATATTTTTTTAATGGTACAAATAAATATGCAAATTGTATATCAAATATTAAACCACTATGAGATATAATACTACTATTAAGAAAATCTATAATCTACTGGTATAATATATTGTATAATAGTACAAAAAAAATATATAACAGTAATCATAAAAAATACCTTTGTGAGTTTCTAAGGTAAGAAGATGAGAAGAAGAGAGGTTGTGCTTTGAGGTTAAGGTTTTTGAGGTTTCTTTTGCAATGTGTTTTGGTTTTGTTGGGAGGGTTTGGTGAGTATTCCATTATAAAGACGTTTATTTGACTTAGATGTTATGCTAAGAGATCAATATTGAATTTTTAAATTATATGTATTTGAATTGAAAGCGAACTAACAAATATATACAATAATTGATTGGAATAATATTATGCAAATTTTTTATTTTGGTTGGATTATCAAATGAGCCAACTGGTTTGGACTAATATTTTGTTATGTTATAGTCAGATTTATGAAAGGTACATGGTTATTTTTTTTATAATATTATGAGCATAAATGGTAACGAATATATTTTATGCTATGTGTTTAAAATTTTATTAGTGGTGGAAGGCTTGTAACGAGTTATATATGGTCTTTAAATAAATAAATTCCATGTTCTACTAATAGTGGCATACGAATCATTCAAATCAGGTATTGTGTGGTTTAATTGGTTTTCAATTATGTTCAGGTGATAATTACATTAGTCAAATTTATAATACTCCCTATATTTCTTAAAGTTTGCTTCACTTTTTATTTGAGCAGTCCTAATGAACATCTTTTGTAAATTACTTATATTTGTATAGTTTAAATTTATCAGGTTCTGCTTACAGTTTAAATGTAGGTAGGTCAATTAGATCATTTGAATCTAGCTAGTCTTATACTATTGTAGCCTGTAGGTCGATCTATAATAATAATAGTCTTTTTTTACCCAATTGCATTTTACCTTAGCCGCCGTCAGGTGGTGTTAGTCGTGATTTGGAACTAAATATATATGGCCCATAAAGGGACCTAGACTTGTTGATTAATAGCCATCACATTTGATCTAGACTAGGTGACATAACACTTAGAAAACACAATCATACAAATGACAACTAGTTATAAGTATCTTTATAATGAAGAATCAAGCTAAGTCTTCTTCTTCTTTATAATTCTACTAGATGTAGAATTTTCTTCATTCATCAAATCAAAACATTGCCTTCTTCTTGACTTCTTTATAACTCATTTATCAAAATTTTATACTGATGAATAATCATTAAAGCTAAAAAAGTGGTTTAAGAAAATTGGATTAACTTGATGAAATGAATATAAAGTAAAGTTACATGAAATGTGGCATATTTTAGATGATTTGTTACACGACCCAATAAAGGTTAAACGTTTGGAATTCAGTTGATCCAAATATATGTTAATCATATGTATTATTGACCAAGAATCATTACAGCACAGCTGACAAATTAATATTGGATCATCCAATATATATACTCATTTTCTTCTTGGAACCTTTGGAAAAGTGTTGCTCTTGCTACAAGCTAAGGCACCTTTTATTCTTCCATCCACACGCAAATAATATGGGTTCGATTGTTCATCCTTACTAGAACTAGAATGTTCATTAATTATACAGTCGGGTGTAAAATTATGCTTTTTTACATTATCCTTCTTATACGCCTATGCTCTCGAGTATTAGATGGAAGTTATGCATCTTCACACAGTTCTACAGTAGTATGATCCTCCCCCAATTCAATTTTTTCCATTCTGTCATTTGTGACAATTATCATAAATTGGCATGAGTCACTCTTATTATTTTATTTTTTTTTAGTTTGACATTTTTCATTTTGTCAATCATACCTTTGGGGTTACTTTTTTTTATACTTCGTATTATTCTTGGTACAAGGCATCTAAATATATGAGATGACTTGATTGCTATCAATATACTATAGGAGTAACACAATTACAAGCAAGTACTTTGTATTACAAAATATTAAGATAAAGAGAAAGATGAATACACATAAGGATTGAATATACCCCATAAGGCCTTATTCACTTCATCTTATTTTTATTGATCTAAACTGAAATTATTTTTATTGAATTGAAATTATTTTCACTGAAATTAAATTATTTTTACTGAAATGAAATTAATCTTTCCAAACTAAACAAATTTTGATAAGAGTTACACCCAAGTTTACAACTAAACTAATTAGTTTTATTAAGTTAATAGTAAGTTCAAATCAAATACTAGCATAGTAAAATAAGCTCATAAAAGTGAATAAAACACATTATAAGGCCTTGTTCTGATACGATTATTTTCAGTTCAGCTCAGTTCAGTTTAATTCAGCTCTTAATTTCCTTCGTCTCTTATAAAATATTCAGTTCAATTAAGCTCAGCTCAGTTCTTAGTTCGGTTCAGTTCAGTTCAGTTCAGCTGTAATAAGTTCAGTTCAGTTCAGTCAATGAGAACAGACCCTAATATTTTAAATAGTGTAGTTTTGTTTTTTTGTTTTTTTTTTTTTTTTGTTAAAATATGTATAGACAATAGAGTTATTACAGTCAAATATAAGCGTTTTTTTTTTTTACGAACAAATATAAGCGTAGCCTATAACATAATCATTATAATAAAGAACTTCTCTTAAGTTGGGAGAAGAGGATTGGTTAGTTCAGATAATAATGAGAACAACATGCCAACTAAAAAGTATGACATAGTTTCTTCTCAATCTAGAAGACTTATCTGTTATTAGGATAGTAATAGTAGTAAAAAAATAATGAATTTATAGTTGCTTCGTTCATGTATATCTTTCATTTTGGTAGACTTCGTCTTAGAGGTTTAGTATGATCAGCCAGCTGGCCAATTATAAATTATTTTATCGTTGAAACGGGGGGCATAAAGCACGCCATTTTATTTCATTTTCTTAAGTAGTAAATGTCAATCATGAATTGGTGAATGGAAGTTTCGGTCACATAACATATTTTGATTTTATGTACTCAAAACAAAACGATTGTAATCTGTGAATGACAACTACTTTAATTGGTAATGTCTTGATAATTAAAGTCGGAACGTTCATTTTTAACTCAAGTACTCTAACACTCTAAAAACTAAGTGCAAGTTGTAAGGGAATTTATTATTGCTAAATTTGTCGCTCTATGTAAATCAAAGTATAGAAATTAATTTATCCAAATTTTCTACTTTGAAAAGTCTAGATTATTGTAATTAATAAATACGGAGTAAAACGGATTATTATGGCTACTTTGATTTTTTGATGGCTGGAAGAAAAGTACACGTAACACATGTTTATAACTTATACAAGTATAAAAAGATTGTTTTCAAAAAAAAAAAATAAAGAAATAAATAAATAAATAATATAAAAGATTAAGATGTAAACTTGATCTAATCCAAACTTACACAGATATTAAAAATTTATGACGAAAATAGAAACTTCGTTATGTTCCTGTCTTCCCATAAGTAGTACAGGGGACTAGGGGAGTAACGAGTAATGTTGGTACTTACTCAACTACTTGTAAAGTTGCAATGTTGACTTTACAGTGGTTTAAATTTGGGGGTTTTTGCTTTTTTTTTTTTTTTTGAACAATATGAAAGATAGGTTATTTGTCATACAAGATTTTATCAACATTAAAATTCTAATTTTTGTGACTTAAGAGTAATATCCTTTTTTTTTTTGATAATCAAGAGTAATATCCTTGCTTTTATGGAATTGCACATATACTTCATTTTATACGAGTACGATATACTTTAATTTGATTTAATAAATTGTGTTTACTACTCCGTATATGTTGTTGTATGTTCATATACTCATATGAAACAATAAAATTTAACCATATTAATTAATTAATTAATTAATTAATATATATATATATATATATATATATATATATATATATATATATATATATACACATATATATATATATATATGATGGAGAGATGGATCAGCACTTACGTGCGTATGGTAAAGCAAGGAAGCTAAAAACATTAGTTTATTGTCTCATAGTCAATCTAAGACTCAAAATCAAATTAAATTAGGACTATGTAAATTCCAAATTTGAAATACTACCCATTCAATAATCAATACGAAGTATTCGTATTTACTAATATTTGAGATAAACTTGATTATGTAAGTTTGACAAAGGCGTAGCTGACCACATATCCATTCCTTTAAATATATAATTAGCAGCACTAATGTCATTAAGAAGTTGATAGGCTGGATTATGCAAGTTTGATAGAGATATGAAGCAATCAATAGAACATTGTTTCAATTAAGAATGAGTTGACAACGTGAATTATTAATTTGGAGAAACTATCATACTTGTACTCTTCAATTTAAACAAGCAATATTCTCTTCAACATTTGAGAGCATCCAATAGCTACATAGTGCTATTATATTTAGAATTTTAGACTAAACCATAATTGAAATTATTTGGAATCGGAAGGGGAGCTCTAACTACTTGAGCTATCCTTCACTCTCATTTATATAATAATTATTAATAACATGTACTAATAATATGAATGATATGAAAATTATCCGTAGTAAATAATATGGTACAAGTGACAAAAAAATTAAACATTACTACCTACTAAATGTATGAAAAAAATTAAAATAAAATTACAAAGCGGACTCTCTAAAAGACAAGCACATTGAAAAGTAAAGACTTACTAGGTACTCAAAATTTGGTGAAGCATTTTCATGAAAAAAAAAAGATGCAGTACAACAAAATTTTACAGTTTTTGACTATTTTGAGCTACAAAACTTACCTGTGAAAACTAAAAAAAAACCCTTAGAAGAATGAAAAATGAAAACAAATCGGGGTATTAAATTAACACTTTAGCAGGAGATCATTTGTCTGTCGACTTGCAACAATAAACCCAAAGTTGTGCCCAAAGAGCGTTAAAAATATCTTTCTCAATAATGTTTCTTCGTTCAGCAATCACTTGTTCTTGTCCTTTTCGTATAAGCCTGCCCACACCCTCAGCAGTCATTCCCAACATAGGTGCATTGATTGATTCTGCAAACGGAAACTCCTCATGAATGCACATCGTGTTTCCCATGTCTGTCAGAAGCGAGCCCTCCAAACAAAATAGAAGCTTTGCCTATCAAAGGCATTTCAGTCTAGCAAATGTCAAATAACCTGTGTGGCCTCTTCCTTCACTGCATGGCTTAGCCATGACAGTTGCGGCACCAGAAGCTTCCACTGCATCGCCTTTTTCAGTTGAATGTTGTCTTTTCTTGTGAGGTGGTGATCTAAAAGAGAAACCCTCATCTCCTTTACCAAGTTCAGCCCTTACTTCTTTAACTTCGTATGTTCGGAGGAGTATCTCAAACGTTCTTATATCTGAGTAAGAAACTAGGCTTAATGAAAGGGAAAAGATTATAACAATTTTAAAACTATATCAAGTTAACAGATAAACCTACCTGTGAACTTCAATCCGAGAGTTTCACATGATCGTTGTACTTGCTCGATGCAAGGCGAGAATGAGCACAAAATCCCATCTGGTTTCAACATCCTTCCAGCTGACGGGATTACAAGCCAAGGTTGGGGTAAATCTAAGAAAACAGCATCAGCCTGTCCTAAATGTTCATCAGGAAATCCCTCACCCTGAATATCTCGAACTCCTACTGTAATTAGCTTGTTCACTCCTGTCTTCTCAAAGTCCTCCCTGTCACATGAAATCAAACAGTGAGAAGCTATTTCGTAAGTGACCATGCTAAAAGAACCATAATAAATCAACCACAAAAAAAAAAAAAAAAAAAAAAAAAAAAAAAAAAAAGAAAAGAACAACCTAACATAACTTGTAGGAGTACAACAGCAATACCCTATTTGCAGTTCTTTTTCTTTATTTATTCTCCTCAAAATTTTTATTATTATTCTTATTGATAAAACTTCAGTTGTTGAACTTTAAACAACCCTTTTTGCAGCAAACATAACTTAATTTACAGACTCCCATGAAGAGCTCTTTCAATGACCAACTTTCAGGCATGGGAAATAAGCATAGTAGAGAACATCAAAAAGTCCCCTTCTATGTAAGCATGGGTCAAAAGTACAAATGAAAAAGGAGTAACACTCCCACCTCTCCACCCTCCCCCCAGCAACACAAGAAGTACAACAGTTATTAAGGTGTAATGTACAATAACCATCCCCAACTATAGCTTTACCTTATTTAATCGCCACAATCTTTACATCCATATACTAAGGCTCCGCTTATGTTGATTAAAAACATTTTTCAGGAAAATCACTTTCTAAGGTAAACAATTTTTAAGGGAAAACACAATTGTAAAAAGGATTTTCCTAAAAAGATAAATGGGAGTAAAAGGGAGGGAAATATAGAGGAGAGAAAATATAAAGCAAGAAATTAGAGAGAAAAGTGCATGGTTTTCCTTCTCTTAAAAGAAAGTTTTTAGATATGAGAAGACTGTTTTCCACTCTTTTACAAAGAAACAAAGGAGAATGGAGAACTGAAGGAAAAATCATTTTCATGGAAAATGTTTTCCACCAAAACAAACAGAGCCTAAAAGCAAAAAGAAGAAAACATAGAACCTTGAGGTCAGCCACATAGTAAATGTTCAAGTGGGCAAGCTCAACTATCATTCACATTTTGGGTTCACCATACCATTCAAGATAATCTAAGAAGCAAATTGTAATTCCAGCGATACTTCTAACAGGAACGCCACTACAATTCAAAATGATTAACTGAATTTAATTAATTAGTAAAACAGTTCATTTGAAGGTGAACTTACCTAGCTGAAGCAGCCCTTTGCTCATGGAAATCAAATGTATACACATGACCCATCGGTGCCACGGCCCTGGCAAGTGAAGTCGTGAGAGAACCACTACCTGTACCTGACTCCAGGACGACACATCCCGGAACTATCTCCAAGTACATAACTACGAAGCTAATATCCGCTATGTACAAAATCTGAGTCCTGTGGCTTAGAACCAATGTCCACAATTCTGGAGTTGGTGCCAACAAGTAAACAAACCCCTTTTTGTTGCTGAAGACTTTGGACCCAAATGGCTTACCAATCCAATCAGAGTGTTTAAACACTCCAAACCGGTTTTGCAGGACTGAGCCTCCAATTACCTTGACAGCCTTCATGTGGTCATGGCGTTCATAGACTATTACTAGGTCTCCCTCTTGGATTCGACGTAGGAGGGAGAGTCTTTCCGATGGGTCTGATGGTATCATGGTGTTGCAGTTTCCTCACTGTTAAAAGACCTGTAATTAATAGGTGCCGAAAAACATTACTCCGTATAATCTAATTTTCCACAATGTATGTAATTATCTCCAGCTACGCAGCAAACAATCAAGCAGTATACATTGCTTCAAACAAACTCTGAATACTGTAAATAACTTGCATTGTAAACACAGCTTAATAGAAACAAACTTACAATTCAGTATGTTATAAACGGAAAATTTTTAGCACCTATCCAAGCTTATAATCACATATGCTACAATTTTTAGCTTACAACATTCCAAAGGGAAAATCTAGCATAGCCAACAACAGGACAACAAAAACTAAAAATTCAAAGTTTTTCCATCCTAATTACCGATTCCGAATAAGTGCATCACTTTGACTTTAACTATATTAGCTTACTTATTTTAACTCGATTTTTTGTTAATCTTCATAAACCAAATATTATTCAATTACATAGTATCAATTAGGTTCATAACTACTAGTTTCATAGTTCAATCCTAAAATTAAAGGGTTCTACTACCCATTAGCAGCCAAATTTGATTCAATTAGGGTACTACAACACATTAGCAACCAAATTTTATTCAATTATTGAATTAGGCTCATAACTTTTTTCTCGTCAGTAGTTATAACCAACAGTTCAATTCACTATACTGGAAATTAAATTAAATTAGAAACCCTAGATTCTAAAGTTGATATGATTACAAAAGTAAACAAGAAGTTACCTGAGAAGCTGCTTCAATGGAGGATTGAAATATCAGAAGGCGCCTCAATGGAGAACGAGGAGTGCGCTTCAATAAACTGAGAGTGTGAGAGAGAGGACAAATAGGGCTCCGTCCTTCCGTTTCCTTTTTTTTTTTTTTTTTTTTTTTTTAAGGGAATAATATATATCCGTTAAATCAAATTAGCCAGAATTCTCCCCTAGGAAACTAGGATAGTGTCCTTAAATTACTCAAATTTTCTTTATTGGATGTTTATTTGTAATTTACAAATGATAGGGCCCGTCAAAAAAAAATAAAAAAATACAAATGATAAGCATTTACGGTCACCATAAAACCAAAAACCGATATGAAAAAATCTATTTTATATTATAATATATTCTCCCTCTGTTTTTGAAAGATGGTTACGTTTGTCTTTTTAGGCGTTCCCTTTTAATGGTTACGTTTCAACTATTCTTAATAATATTCAATGCACGTATCGCGTGCAAAACTACATATTCATATACTTCAATGGATGACATTAGCAGTCTGTGTACTTTGCATTCATTGGTTATTAGATGTATTGATTGAGTGGTTTTATATTCGCATGGATTATGCCACCTAAAGTTAGCAGTCTGTTTACTTTGCATTCATTGGTTATTAGATGTATTGATTGAGTGGTTTATATTCACATGGATTATGCCAGCTAAAGTTGAAAATAATGACAAAATATCATCATTTTTTCAGTGACTACTATCTTATTTTCCTTAATAACCATGTAAAACTATCAAACATGGTCTTTTTTGGATAAGAAAACCTATATTATGACATTTTTTCTTTCTACTTCAATAGGTGAAGTCTTAACTCAAGCTAAATGCAAACTAGGATCTCTTGTAGATGGGAAGCTAAATGCAAACTAGGATCTCTTGTAGATGGGAAGAGGAAGGAACTTGACTTCCTTGCTTGTATGCTTAGACATACAATAAACATTTCTAAATGCCCAGAAAGCCCTCGATCAAAGTCATGGCTATAAAAAGAAGGCTTCAAACACGAATTGTGTATATTAATTAAAATTTGAAAGTTAACCAAGAAGAGAACTTGTAAAAGAATGGATCGGCATACAAACTTGCAGAAGAAATCAATGTCAATTCTCATGGTAATACCCCAAACAATACTCTACATGTGAATGGAAGTTTTAGATTTTGAAACTACAAACCACCTTGCTCTTAATCGTTGTGTATGCAAATACTAGCTTCATCTAGATTGTGCAATTAGATTATATTGCATAGTTCAAATTAAATAAAACAACCTGTGATGCTTAACCTTTTCGACTGACAGTAAAGGTAATCCCAGAAGGATCTTGGCAAGATCTTGATCTTCTTAGCTCTGATATAACCCAGTAAAATACTGGTATGGATCAAAAGTTTTTATGCTTATACTTGTTTCCCTGCATTTCAAGCACAGACTATCCGTAGTTCGTTGTGATACATCAAACTAATTCATTCCCCAATTGTCTTTGTTGTCCTGTCAATTCAAGCATAAACTCGTCTTTTTACTAAAAGGCATCAATCCCTTTATATGATAGATACAAGTAGTTGTTCAAGCATCAGCCAAAAAAATAAAAAAAAATCTCGACCTTCTATTGAAAAATAAATAGAAAATACACATGCCAAATAATCTCAGTGAAAAGATAAATGAAAGAACATGTGAGATAAATTAAATACATCTATAAAAAGGATCAAAAAAGTTGTATAAAAAGGGATGAAATCTCTACAAAGAGATGTGAGAACTGAATTAAAAATAACACTACTGTAATCATCTTGAAGAAGAAGTGGAATGTTAGAACAAAGTATACAGACTAGCAGGTGCAGGCGTGCAGCACAGCAACAGTGTCATACTTGAAACAGATGATTCTCAAAGCATACATTCCAACTTGAGTCTTTTGCCACATGATCTGCACTTCCACCACCACTGCTTGAATCATGACATGGACTATTCGTTCCCTTAGAAGGGGACCTTTCTATATCCTCTTGGCTGATGTTGTCTTTGTTGTGAGCTAACACATTAGGGACAAATGCATTGTCCAGAATTTTATTGGAATCAGTATCAGCAACCTGTGGGGGTGTATATGACTCACATGGATTATTGCATTCATCAGCATCATTTTCTTCATCAGAGAAGCATCTGCAGCAATCTAATTCATCCATATCAAATATACGGCTAGATAATCCTTCTCTCCATGATATCCTAACCTCAGACTCATGAAAACTACGGAGCAATGATTCAGGAATCCCAGGAGAAGCCTGACTATCCATGGCTTTTCGGAAATTGGCAAGGTCAATTGAATTATCTGGTCTAATCAGCGGATTAAACTCAAAGCTCATCTTTGGTGAATCCACTGCAGGCTTATCACATCCCGGAGATAAGCTAGTTCTTCTGAGAACTTCAGCCACTGAATCAAGTTCAGATTCAAACCAAAGTCTAGATATCTCATCCCTGCTCAACTGGGACAATCCAAAGCTTTCTGTACTTGAATCCGACTGTGGGGTTTGAATAACATTTCCACTTCCTATCGAATCTTCAGAATGTGGGGTAGCTTCTTTTTCATGATCATGCCGATATTTGTCTAGTTTAGGTGAGACTTCAACCTTAGAACTCGGCACATAAAGAGGATAAGTTGGTGAGGGGCTACGCACCAAATGATCAAATGAAGGCCCAAGGACACCTCGAAAGTCAGGGCTCCTACTCCTACTACTATGAGAAATTGTAGTGGCTGCACTACTTGTTGCTGTACAACTACTTCTATTGCACAACTCAGACGAAAACCCAAGACTCGACATAGGTGAAGATGAACAACCAATTGAATTCGGAGACAACACCACTTCACACTCGTTCAATTTCACATCACTTTTACCATGATCATCATCCTTGTCCTCACTGTTCTCATCACAAGGAGATAATATCCACTGCATCGAAGCCTCGGATGGAAAAGGAACAAGAGAAACCCTAGGCTTGCTAAAACTTTCTAGGACACCCTCATCATCACTCCTAAACACCTTAGTTTTACTAGACCCAAACAAGTCATTATTTCCAATAGTAAGCAATCCTCTAGGCCTACATTTCCTCTTGTCACTAACACCAGACAGAACATGACCAGCAGCATAACAAGTAGTGGGTGTGGCTTTCACCACCGATGTCGAACCGCCTTGTATCTCAGGCGAAACAGAAGCCTGTATAGGCGGAATAGGGCTGATTGAATCACAACCATTTGACTCCTTTTCACCCAAATCAGACACACAACCATTTTTACCTACAGGAGTAAAACTCACACCTTTTTCACACAATCTAGCATCAGAACCAACAGAAAAATCAGATCTTGAGCTGGGTTTTTTCCCAGATTTCCAAGAATACAAACAAGGAGTAGGAGGGTTTTTCTTCAACCTTTTAACATTTCCAGAAATGGGTTTTTCTGGGTTTCGCAAATTATTGCAATTTTTCACCAAATTTCCACCATTTTCACTCAATTTAACCTTCAAACGCTTAGCATTTGGAGCAGTTTTAGGGGTTTTATGAGCAATTAAAGATTTGGGTTTTCTATTACTAGCATTTTTAGTAGCAGTAGAAGAGTAATTAGACAGAAAAAACCTGAGACAACCCTTTGAAGCTTCTGCTGCTGCTTCACTAGATATTGAAGTTGCAGATGAAAATGAAGATGAACAAGAAGATGAAATGTTGAGATTTTTTACCATCAATGGATTTCTGGGGCTCGGATTTTTAACCTTTTTCTCCGTTTTACTTTGAGTTTTTGATGCAGAAAATTTGTTATTCATCATAATGAGATTAAATTGGTTTATTCTGAGGATTTACATTGATTAAAATTGGAGATTTTGTGGGATTTGAGAGAATTAGGAATGGATGAAGCTGAAGTGTGTAAGTTTAGGAAGGAGTAAAGAGGGATTATCTTAAAAGTTTGATTTGATTTGAATTTGAGAAATGGGGGTTAAAAAAATTTAAGTTTGCCCCTGGATTTTGGCTTAATTTCTGAAGAGGGTATCATGATGTCATGCCATGTGTTTCCTTTTTGGCTTGAACTCTTTGGGATACTTTTAACAAGTGTTTGTACTTTCCCTTTACAAAGAACAACGGTTGTATATTGACTCTTACTCTATTAAATTAATGTTCAATGCTTCCTTATTGTATTTTATGGGTAACGTGAGTAATGAGTATGACAACTAGTATTACACACTACTCATTTATTCACGGATCTAGCATTTTAAGTGATAATCAACTCTCGTCCTTGGTAAATTTAATCTATCGATCTAAAAGTTGCAAAAATGAAAGGTGTTATCACTGTAAAATAAATTAACATTCAACATTTAGAATTAGAAATTGTTTTAGAAGCTTTGGAAATAATGTTGCAATATGTTAAAATGCACTCAAACCATGAACTAAGTAATCCAAGATATTATGCAGACGATTGAATTGTTATAGTTCTTCTCATGAAACAAACTGGAAATGGCATTGCTCACCTTGCTAATGTATGAAACCTAGGTGAATGAATACTTTAAGCTACACTATTCAATTCCTTAATGTGCTATAGAAGCGTTTGCTAAGGACCAAAAGAGGAAGTATACAACAAGCTACATGCACTAGTATACAACTCTCAACCCGTCCAATTTTGAATGCTTAGATTTTGGACAAATTTTATCTTTATCTAAATCTATGACATATTATGTGGTTTTCGCTTTATGTAAACATGTACTTATTATGCTCAATTATAACTAGGTAAAGACTTTTATGGCAAGAACAAATTATCTTCTTAATTATGTTAATAGCAAATTACACTGCAACAATGACCCATCACATGCAAACTCATCAAAATATTGACTCTTTTATAGATCACAAAATTTTCAATGCACTCGCTTAATTATAAAAAATTTCTACTAATAAATTAGTATAAAATATTAAAGCAATTCTATTATATTTGAAATTACATGTTGACATTAATCTAACAATCACAATATTGTTCCCTAAAAAAAATTGACTGTTATAAAATTAAAGAGAAAGAGGAGAAATTAGGGAGAGAATAGATCAGTCTATTTTATTCCATAGAGTGGGGATATATATATACATACAATATAACTAGGGTTTGCTTATATAATAATAAACCCTAGTTCTAGAACATTCCGGAATGATAAAGGAGGATAATGGATATCCATACAATATTTCATAACACTCCCCCTTGGATGTCCATTATCGAATAGTGTGCCTCGTTAAAACCTTATTAGGAAAAACCCTATGGATAAAAACCTAATGAAGGAAAAAGAGTACAACATTCTTCGTAATACGCTCGATATGCTGCCTCATTAAAAACTTACCATGAAAACCCAATGTGGGACAAAACCATGGTCAAGGGAAAAAGACTGCAGCGCGTATTTTCTCCCCCTGATGAATACATAGCTTGAGATCTTCTAGTGTCGCAGCAATGAATCCAATATGTTAGATATCTTCTCATATGTAGTATAATATCACTCGTTGATCTTCGATACTCCTAAACTGAAATTGCATCTTCAAGTCTTCACATAAACATGTGAAGTGTCTTCATTTCACCATACATGTGTTTATCTCTAATATCATTATTTCAATTATCTGTTTAATAAATGATTCAAAGGATAAACTTATACGGTTATGACTTCTTCTGGAAGTCGTTGATAATAAATATTGATGATCATTATTTGATCAAACATTCATTAATACGAGTAATAATTTGATGACAAAACTTCATATTATTATATCATTCTTCTCATATAAATTATAATATAACACACGTAATTATATACGCTAATCATGGTTCTTCTGGACCATAAGAAAACATTGTCACGCATAAGTGATCCATTGATATTCTTTAGACGTTTCATAATTGACACGATAGCTCTCTTGCAAATACAAATAGTAAATCTCATCAACTCTCATATGATCAAACTTCAGGTTGAGATGTTAATAATGTTGTCACGTACATAGATTTTCAAGAGTTTGATAATAATTGCACATTCAAGATATAAACTTTGTAGGGCTGGATATTACAATAGGTTGTATATAAGTTCTTCAGGAACTCTTCATAATTCATAATGTGCAATTAAATCGGTGTCATCAATAATTTCATCACAATTATAAGCCCATTGGAATATTAATCTCTTTCTAATTTTTTATCAAATTTGTAAACATATCTTACTATACTTTGAATGAACATTTACATACACCACAGTTATTGTAAGAAATTAATGCATGCAATATGAGATATGGAAAATATGATAACATATTAACAAATATACAATGAGTAATGCATCTGACAACTTCCTATATATGCAATAAATATCCATTAACTTATGACTCACACATGCACATGAAAATAAGACTCAAAATGATGCAAGACACTGTACAATGTGGATTTAAAAATCCATATTTCATTGGACTTCTGGTCCATAATAATTTTTTGATCATTATGTCGACAATAAAATGGACATATATTTCAGATCCCTTTTTCACTCGTCCATTCTATCATGCATATGCATATTATTCATCGGTTCCATTGTGTACCGGTATCATAAAATTCTTATAACGTATATTTTGCATGCTATTTTACTATGATATCTGAATGCATTTTTCATTGGTAACATCATAACTTTTCTTACATAATAGGCCATCTTTTATAATAAATCAGATATCTATACCACATATTAAGGGTATTTCTCACACTATGGTATTAATATACTATTATTATACTTTAAAATATCAACTGCACTATCTTGCCGTATATCGCATATTTATATTGTTGGAACCGATCATACAAACTACACTTCAGGTGCAGTGATTTAAAGTAAATTGACAAGATCTATCTTAATGTATGCACATAATATCATTATCACCATAATCAAAATATATCTCACTATTCCTTTAGGTGGGTCATAACGGTATACAAATCAAATCATAGATGTGCAACATATGTTGATACAAAAGTTGGCATGTAACTTTACAAAGTATCATCAGAGAGATCAACTATTTATAGTATTATAATTTTGCCAACTTACTTCAATTCTTCCCCCTAAGTTGGTAAAATATATCAAATGTTGGGGCAATTATTCACCAATTTAGAATATAATTTCATGTGCATCAAATTTTATCTCGTAGGATAATCATATATATTCAACAAACAAAGTTCTATCTCTTTTGTAGAATAATGGAATTTTGTTCTCTTCTAGAGATCAATATTAATAGAGTAATAAATTGTGCAGTTGTTAATTTCTTGTTCTATTCCTTACGTGCTGACATACAATAGACCCAATCAAGAGAATTGTTATACAGATATAAACTTTCTTGTAATTTCACTAGGTGGTGATCTTCAGGATCACTAGAAACATTGATAGTAATACTAGTTACTTAAAATTTTCACATATAACTTGTACGTGGTGAGCTTTTGGTCACTTAATATTTGTCAACATAAAAATTATTCTAGTGAACTTCTGGTCACCAATTATTCAGAAAAACCAATATATTATCTCTTGAACTTTTCTTTTTACACAAACTATTAAAAATCACAATCTAAATATAGCTCAATCTCAATGTTATGTTTTGCCATTCAATTTATTTCATATATTTAACATGAGAGAGCGTCAGCACATTATTTCTTTCATATCAAATGAAACTTTAGGTTTTCATAACGGGAATTTATTAAACCCCGGATGGCCTAATTTTTAATTATCACATCCATTAATCACTTTTCCTTTAGTAAGTATTTAAATTATGGTCAGTTTTATAATACTGGTGATCACCTTATTAAAGATACTTTATGCATGGTCGTGATATAAATACACCAATGTGTTTCTTTCTACAACTGACAAGACAACTAACTAATACTCATACTCCGCTAGAGCATTGATTGTAATCTTGATACATGCTAATTTTTGTTGGACAACATTTTATACTCTTCTGGAGTACTTTATATAATCATAACCCTCTTTAATGTAATAGAAATGATATCTTTAGGAAATTTGTCACTTACTCATATTTGTCATTGTCAATTATTGCTCATTTCCTCTTCCAAGGATTCTTATCGTTGTAACCATTTGGATTACCACACTTTAGGTGTTCTAGTTTCAATAACAACTGATCTTGTCCTTCTAGGACATCAGTTTATATATACATTTATAGCTAGTATATAAGTAATGACATTTATTCATATCCATCTTCAGATGGTATCATTCTAAATATTTGATTATCATGTGGCCACCTCTATTAAGAAATAAATCATAGATATTTAGGCTAGTGTATGTACCAAACTGATATCAACATATTTAATTATTCATGTGCAAGGATTACATAAAAGCAATGGAATAAACACTGTCTTCCCCTAATCCTTACATATGGGGTATACAAATAGTCCAACAATCTTTATATCTCTTGGTCTTTTTAAGCCATAAATTCTTTAGCAATACAAGTATCAAACAAAACAAAACTATTCTTTTCCTCTTGCCCAATTATATGAATCTTTATATTAAAAATTCTCAAAATTAAAGTATGGGCATAATGAATACATTTTTTTTTTGTGAAACGCTAAACATCGCCCGCAAATTACCATATAAAGCCCACAAATATGATTTGGTGTGACCATTATGCCATGCTAAAAAATTTCTTTAACTTAATCACTATTTCTTGTTCAAATAGATATTTTTCATATATAATCAAGAAACTATAATGCAAATATACTTGTTAGCCTATTAATTCCATAAATTCCTATTCACTTCTGGGAGTGAGTAAACCAAGTACTATATGAATCATCAATTCTCACCTTGAGTTTGGTTTTCATATAGAATATTACACAAAATCTTTTATATATTCTCTTATGACATTGTGCTTATAAAACCACATTAGTATTGGGAATGGTAGATAATTTAAGCAACATACTTTACAAACTAATAGTAATTTAAAGGCATATACATATCTTCATGTTATTTTGGAGAGTTTTTTACCCTTCATAATTAAAGAGCTTCAGAACCATATAA